TGACGCTCTAGCCACTGAGCTAAACGGCTGATTGACACACCGACGAAAATCTTAACGCATTCTTCCACATTGTTTTCGTTAGCATTTGAAGCAATGCTTGGCGCCATCTATTGTTATATCCTTTCCAGCATACAAACAATTTCGAATATCGTTTTACAACGATAATTCGAACGAGAGATGTCGCCATTGCTTTTTTATAAATTTAAATTGTTTATAGTGCTAATTTTTGCACTTAAGATTGAACATTAAAATATGTAGAAAAAGTGCGAAAAGATTGTCGCCGCTGTGGGAATCGAACCCACGTCTTCGGCATTCGCGGCCTGACGCTCTAGCCACTGAGCTAAACGGCTGTTAGCCACAGCGACGAAAATCTTAACCGCTTCTTTCTACATTGTTATTTAGCATTTGAAGCAATGCCGCATCTATTGTTATATACTTTCCAGCATACAAACCGTTGAAACTTCTTTGCCGCCTGGATAGACTGTGAAGGACGATTGTGTGTCATCAAGGTGAGCGAATAACGGCTTCGAAATGCCAGATAAGGACACGACTGGGAATTTTCCATTTCCTTCGTAACATGGTTTCGCCTTTCCCTTAACCCTCAGCACGTTAGTGGAGAAGATTTCAGTGACCCAAATTTTCTACATGGATGACTATAACTCAAACTAGTCGACTCCAACCGCTTTAATTTGCTAGAATAAAGGATAAGAGCTCGAGATGATTAAGTGTACGATCTTTCAACGTTGAAAGGGGCATGGTCACAAATTCCGAGGGCATAGATTTATCTTAGCCCGACTACATAAGAACCCTTTCCGACGCTGAATCACATCAATATCTGGGTCGCCACACAAAATGTGTATCGAACCAGTCATCTCGTGACGTATTTTTTGCACGCCTGACGAAACTGTTTAACAACCATTTGAGAACCGCCCTAAAAAGAAAAGTCCGCACCTCTATTACCCCACACAGGATGAATTATCCGAGATCTTCCGCGATGAAGCTGTACTTGCCGCGGAAGCTCGACGGGTGCGGATTTTTAAGCGCCTTCACCACGCAGAATTACGAGGTACTCCGCGACTATTTTCTAATAAGTTCGGATTCACTCTACACGGATGTCATCCGCTAAAAAATGAAAAAACGCTTAACCGTTAAACCTTGGGCAGAAAGCAACACCAGAATTACGAAGTAAATTATGGAAAGTAAAAACCGAATAGTAGTAGTGAAGAGAGAAAAGTTGGAAACGGAAGGAGAAATTGCGCAACACCAAGTGAGCAGTCTTACCTGTTGAAATGTCTGAAAACAATTGAATTTTGTTGTATGTAAGTTTAGAATACGGTCGGTATTATCTGACACGTACCGATTGTACTGTATGCATTATCATTATCTGTAAACTATTTACAACATTTTCCTAATACTACTTGACCTGTGCGAAATTTTCTCACTGTGACGTGATCAGTCACCGAATGCTAATATAATAATGTGTACATAATTATTTATCAAAAATATCTTATTTTCTTCAATTACGTTTTTCACTTTACTTTCTTATCATTCATTTAAACAAATATGTCATTGTCATATCATATTTTCACTACATAGAATAAAACAAAGTCGTCCTGCTGTCTGTCTGTCCCTATGTATGATTAGACCTTTAAAAACTACGGAACGTATCTTGTTGCGGTTTTTTTTTACAAAATAGAGTGATTCAAAAGGGAGGTTTATATGTATAATACATTGCACCCATGCAAATCTGGGGCGGGTTACTATATATATAAAATTCTTCTATACGTGTATATGTCACTGAACTCCTAAACGGACCGATTCTTATAATATTTATTGTGTGTCTTAAGATCGATTCGAGAATGATGTACAGTCACAAAGTTTTTGAAAAAAGTTTGAAATTTAAGACGTGTGTACAGGACAACATCTGTCCGGTTCGCTAGTATTCTTTATAAGGCACTTTAATCAATTTTTTTTTTATAAAATTTACTTTATTCCATTTGTACATACACATACAAATAAGCTAAATTACCATAGATACAAGTCGAATATAACTATGGAAGTACGGAGTACCGATAAAAAATTAGTGACTCCGTGGTGCAGCTACCAAGGTATTGACTTCGTCGCTAAAGTGGTGGGTTCCATAGCCACTCGGGACAATTATTTGTGTGACCCACAAGATAATGATTCGGATCTGAATGTTTGTTACGTGAAATATACGTTTGTAAAACGTCCTTACAACTTTATTGATATTGTATTGTCTTAAGGTTCAAACCGACATATTTGTGGGCCGGTTTGGTTCGGTAAAGTTTTAGGGCTTAATAAAAATGTGTAATAGGTACGTGCCTACTTACGATGTGGGATTATTGTAACATGGACGAATATGGTTAATTATCGTTAATGGTATGCAATGTAGGTTACCTACCTATTTAATGTTATTTTTCTTATCAGGTTTAAATTATTACTTTAAAATTTTTTGTTCTTTCTTTTATTAACAGGAACCTAATAAAAGCTCGCTTTTAAAAAGCTATTTTTTTATTTTAATTTTTTAAGCAACTGATATCTGCTTTTCACCATCAAAAGAGGGTTGACTGGTAATGCCTCTAGTCATTAAGACCACCTGTTGCGGCCCTTGGCTTAAGGTGTAATGATTAAGTTTAAATAAATAAATAAATATAATTAAATTCGAAATTGAAATCTGTCATGTAATTGTAATGTATTATGATGGCATAGCACTTACGGAGAAAACGTTGTGAAAATTTTCGATCGAAAGGGTTAGGCAGCGTTGCATTTGCAAAACATGCACTTGTTGTGTATCAGATATATTCATTAAAATCTAGAAATTGTGAGAAACAATTGTACCCAATTTTTTCATGCTTAAAATTAATTGTAATTAAAATTAACGCCGCGGCTGTTGACAAGAGAGCTTTTTCTTTTCTCGCTCAAACGTTAAGCATTCAACAAGGAAATACAGCTAGAGATTTTGGCACCATGCCGCGTGGACTAGGTTTATGACATAATATGTAGTTTTAGATAGATTTAGTGTTGTATATTTTGGATTTAAACTTAATAGCATTTGCAGTACTAGGTTTAATTTATAGTACCCGGAGGTTTGTTTTTTTTTTTTTTGTAAATCGTGTGTTTTGGAAATTACATTTAGATACAAATTACTGAGTAATAAAATATGCTTAATATTTTTCGATCTTAACGACGTAATAATAAGAAAATATGAACTGTTATGTTTTTCACAAAAGAAAGAACTTAAAAAAAAGGGAAAAAAATAACAAAATAAGATATCGACAAAAAAAAAAGATAAAGAAAGCAATGATCTGGAATCGAAAAAAAAGTAAAAAAATAAGTGTGTAAATGATCGTGATACGAACCACGGCCTTCTGTTTCGTGGCTGTATGTTAGCGGCCGCCCGATTACCGACCGAGCTATTATAACATTTTTTTTCGGTGAAATTTACCGTCGTATTCGAATAATATTTTTCATTCCCTGAAAACTGGGATAAAACGACATTTTCTAAAAATGAAACCTAGTCAGATCGATTTTTCGTCCCCGAATCTACGCACATACTAAATTTCATGAAAATCGCTGAAGCCATTTCCGAGATTCCAATTATATATATATACAAGAATTGCTCGTTTAAAGGATAAGATTTGGATTACAGCACACATAATGCTGGATAAGAACGAAACTTAGGTCATATAATTTCAATCTTAGGAATCACGCAACACAACACTCTATGACTTTGGAATTTTAATCTCAATGCTGTTGGTGTCAAAGTATTTACTAATTGCCAAAAGTCACTGACCATTTATGACCATTTCCAGACTAATTCGAACCACTTTTTAGGAGTTCAAATTTCATAATTATTATTGGACGGGGCCCTTCTATGGGTCTCAAAATTTGTGGTAGAAAAGGACGAAAGCACTCTGTAGAGGATAGCTTATAGCTTGTAGAGGATAGCTTATAGGACACTAAGGATACCAATAGATGCGTCAAGCATTGCTAGAATTCCGAAAATGTAGATAAAAGACTTTGAGATTTAGCCTTTTAGCTTAGTGGTTGAAGTGTCTGAGCGCGAATCCGGAAGTCGTAGGTTCGATTCCCGCAGCGGCGAATAACTTTTCTTCCTTTTTCTACAAGTTTTAACTTTTCATCTTAATATCACGTATTATGTACCCGATGTGTGGAGATATTTCACCACGCTAAATACAATTAAGTGTAGTACGGAAAGGGCGACCTGGCATTTTTTTATATCATTTGCGCTAGTTGGTACAGCGAGTACCACGCATCATAGTAACAACGCATCTGCGAGGGATAAGTCTTCCCCAATGTCTTCACAATTTTGTGACCACACGAGAACACTTCGTGTTGTTACCATTGACAGGTCCCCGAAGGTGGACCATCAGAATGCTCACACAGATCGACTGCGAATCCAGTGTCCTCTTCTATTTTAGTCGCACTAAAAAGCTAAAGACTTTATACCCTAATCCTCTCTGGAAGACGCACGCATTTCTCGTGTAGCAGGATATGATGATATATTTTCTTTACATACTAAAAGACTAATGTGTTTTTCTAAAACTTATTTACAGACAGGACTTTGATAACCGGTGCCCCGTCATCGGAATAGGGGTTCGATGACCTCTGAGACAGGCGGCCATCTTGCATGTTTACTACGGCCGTCGCGGTCCGCGCGGAGCTAAATTAACTTGCAATCATTTCTTCTGCCGTTTACATTATTAATCGCGGAACGATTATACGAATCCGCGCGGCTATCGCAGCGGCGATTTTAAAAACCGAACCAGTCCGTTGCGGCGCGCATTTACTTAAATAAACGATAAATCTCGCACTCCCGGCCGCGTAATAACAAAATTCGCGAATCCAATCGAAAAAGGCCTGAATATATGACGGCGTAAGGTAAGGACGGACGGACGGACACAAGAAATCATTATTGCGGCGGAATCCATACAAATAATTGGCCCGTAAACATGTCAAAGCGGCGTCTCTGCCATGTATATTTCAGTAGGGCTTGCGCGGCGCGAGTCGAAGTTCCCTGGGATTTTACGATCTCGTAAATAAAAAATACTCAAGTAAAATACAAACTTCAAAGAATTACGTAATTCGCATTAGATACATCAATATACGAATTAAATTTGATTCGAAACTTATTTACGATTCCTATTTTACAATCTCCGAAGAGACGGAATTTTTTTTATGCAAACATTCTATCCGAACTAAATTTATCTTTTATACAATCTTTGACCATTTTATGTTATGGGAACATATCAAGTTTAACATAATAAAACACACAGATTCTAAATACGGAAGTTACTTTGTATCAGACCATGCGCGTATGTAGTCACATTGCGGATAAAAAAGTGGACCGAAAAAAGAAACAAACAAGCGGACTTTGTAGCGATGTGATAAATTAATCCGCGATTTCAAAACATACTAGATGCGCGCAAAAAGCTCATACTGGCAACCCTGCGGCGGGCCGAATCCGTCAATGTCGTATCAATAGAGCGGGCGGCGAGGTTTTTTCGTCGCGCTCTGGTGACAGACGCGCGCCGCGAGATGGCGCTGCCATTGTACGGCGCGCGCGCAAACCGACCAGTCTGTACGACTAAGGCCTCGTTCACGACGAACCTAAATCGAATTGCGATAATGAAAAAAGTAACAAACGTGACGTTTAATATACTACATTTCAATTGCACCAGTTTCAATTATGTTGCGTGAAAATAACCTGTTAGGTATTTGTCGTTTTATTCAACGTGCAGTCTTCTAAGCGTAGAAACCTTAGTGTTGTTTGTAACATACTGATCAATATTGGACTAAGTATCGCTCTCACGTCGACTGCGTTTTTTCATGAAATTTGTGTGTTTTTTATGTGAAAAATTGCCAAGCGAGCAGACAGTTCACCTGATGTTAAGTGAATACCGCCGCCCATGGACACCCGAGGGTTCCAGATGCGTTGACAACCTTTTGAAAATTGGGCTCCGGCCACCTCACTCACCAGACGTAACGCAAAAGTATTATACTTCCACTTTACGCCGGTTTTCTGTCAGGTCGTGGTACTTACCCGGACGAGCTTGCCCATTCGTGCAACAGCCGAGGCTGCTGCATGGCTCTACCACCGTTAAACTGTCTTCGAACGGCTTGTATTCGAAATTTTAATTAAATTATTATCAAAATCGTTTAATAAATAAAAGTTGAGTCGGCTATAGAATTCATAACACTTACATGCGATGGTCGCAAAAATCATGGAATGAAATAGATAACGAATCCTTAATGAATTAGTTAAAAGCTCGACTCAAAACGACTTCTCTGTAAACGGCGTCTTATCTCGATCTTGATATAAATAGATATCGAAGTAAATCTACTATCAGACGATTCAGTCAGTCCCCTCCGCTCATAGAATTGATTTTGATCGACAACTAGTCCGATTTTAATTCCTACTCGATACTCAGCGTCCATGTTTTATCGAATCGTAATGTTATGTATGTATTGGAAGCAACTTGTCCATCAAATGATTTATTTCTATTCGCAACGGCTTTATTATAAACCTCATTCTTGATTTGTCCTTTGTATTTGAACTGGATGCAAATTCGGCGCGGAGAATTACGTTATATCATCAGTATGGATTATTTTTAAACATATAAGTTTTAATTTAATGAGTTATTTTTAAATCGTTTGTTACAGTTTGATAATTAACGTCATTATGGATTGAGATAAATTTAAATATAACTGCTCTGCAGTTAGTGGATAGGCAAGCGAGGAGAATAAATAGTGACCCTGGTATGAAGCTATCTGTCCATTCTTGAGGACAGATGCAAATAGCCAAACTGTCAGTGTTTTATAGATGCAGAAGTTCGATAATTTGAATCACCCCCTTCCATCATTGGACTAGTAAACGCTCTGCACAACTGCATCTTGTTGACATTTCCCGCATTCGGTTGAAGGAGGAAATAGTTCATCTCCTCTTTCATACTACGTAAGCAAGGGAGTGGAACAATTTGCCATTATCAGTTTTCCTGTCGAACTTTTATGGAAGTGTTGTTTCACAACTAGACTGAATTGGCTACTACTGATCTAGGGCGTTCTCTACTTAGCATCAGGGGATATGGTAACGTTTACTAATAACACATCTTTCTTGCCATTTGACCTCATGTTTACCATAAGAATACTAGAGCTGACTAGTCTTAATTTATTGACGATGAAATACGTAAAGTTACAACGCTATAACAGGATTCATTTCCTTTTAGAATTTTATCTTCACTTGACTTCCTTCTTAACATTTCAAAATGACTATAATCTCTTAATTTTAAAACAATATGAATTATTATTAGCCCGTAAGAAGTGACTAACACAACACCAATACCACGTACACACAAACTGACAGAAAATTGAATTACGTCAATAATTGTGCAAATACAACTGGTTGCACCTAATAAATATCATGAAAAGTAAAAAGCAGAATGGTTTGAATTAATTTAAAAAAAATTGCACAATCCAGTATGACTTTGAAGTTAATGGGATAGCTTCCTTATATATTATACATTTACCTGTTCATATTCAATAAGACTCAATTCCTCGCTGAATAGTTAAGCATAACTATGCAGCAATGTAGCATATGCAAGAAATGCAGATAGAGTTCTTGGCACCCATGCCGCGTGGGCTAGGTTTATTAGATGATATGTAATTTTAGATAGGTTTAATCTTGTAAATATTAGATAAACAAATATTATCAATATGACGATATTATCAATATTATCGATACCTGCGCCTTAAAATCACCTGAAGTTTAGAACCAAATGCCCCATGAAATGTCCACCTTCAGATTCTTGCCCCAACGGAACGCTCATCTTTGTTTTCTCCAGCGGCGTGCGTTGCTCCGCTCCGACGTTTTAATCGGAGCGTTAGCGGATACTGAAACGCTGAAGTTTTTGTTAGCCCTCTTCTTGCGCCAAATCCGACCGGACGCGATCGGCTATCTCACAGCGCCGATACGTCGATCGATACGCCGACATTTAGCTCGGCATCCCGCGTCAGCTGGCGTCATTGTCCGACGGCAATTACAACGCAATTAATGCGGGGGGCTTAATTGGGGCGATCGGATACGTCGCCATGTTGGCCCATTGATTCACCAATTAGCGCAATTAAATGCCTTCCCGATGTTGCGACGGTGCGACGGTTATAATGAAGTTTCCCTACGGACGATGCGCGTGTCAAATATGCAACGCGGAATACTGCCCGCTTTGACGGCGGCCATTATTTAGAAAAAGATAACGATTGATATGTCGTGTCGTAAATATGACGGGCGGTCCGTGACGTGTTTTATATTGTTCGTGTAATTACTAATAATTAGATGAGAAATACTCGCTTCGTTGTAGAGAGAATGACGTGCGTAATTTGACGGCTTGGCTCTGTTGTGATCATCGGCTGTGTAACGAGCCCTGGGTCTCAGATTCAATTCAAGCAATTAATCTATTAGGCCTAAATATCATGTATTATATGAGTCACTTATTATCGGTACTTTCTCCTCATATTTCTATTTAAGTGGAAGAAGTTGAAAAAAAATTGTAAAGTATGAATAAATAAATATATTATGTAATAAATTTGTATAGTTCATTCATACTTAGATATATATTATGTCATAAAAAGTCTCTCATAGTTTATCATGCTAAGTTATTTTAAATAAACAATTAAAAACAATTTATAAGTAGTCGTCACTCAAGTCCATAGAGTGATAGTACGCGTTGCGGAGTAGTTATATCATAAATAATAGGCAGCAATACAGGGCTTGTTACTTAATAAATCTATAATATGTATTAACGTATACTCCGTGCCAAATTAAATTTCTATTCACGATGACAACAAGTTTTGCCAATTTTTAAAAACATTTTACTGTAAATTGTCATACGACATAGACGGCTGTTGGCACCGAGCTAATAAGGTGAAAGTTATTTTTGGATACATTCCATTTTTATTGTCAATTTGAGTTTGTGCTCAACGGTTAATTTACGATAATGTTTGCAAAATTCAGTATGTATTGGTATATATTATTAAATCGGCATAAAACTTTTCAATCAGCATGAAATTTTGCTGTAGCATAACCAATCATTCTGCAATAAAAAAGAAAAACCTCGCTATAGTGCAAATCTATATGTTGTGTCGATTCTACAAAGGTCACATGTATAAGTTCAAAGTCAAAGTATCTTTATTCGATACAGGCTTAACTTAAGCTCTTATTGAACGTCAACAAAAAATCTACCACCGGTTCACTAAACTAGACCCAGCTGGAAACTGGTCTTGTTTATTTTTGTTTTTTTTTTTGTGATGCAATTATACAAACTCAATTATTTAGGTATAAAATCAGCAGCAGCCAGGGGTCTTGCAAGTGCGGAGCAAGAGTCATTTCCACACATCCTTGTCCTCAAGGTGGTTGTCAATGATAATTAAAGAGCTACTGTTTCCGACTGTGCCACGCTTAAGGCCTGCATCGCTTATCGCGTGTCCACAGCTTCTCGCAAGACTCGCGCGCGGGCATTTCGTCCGTGGCATCAAGATAACAGTCGTATTAAATCAAAGGATGCCGCCTTTTAATACTCTATTCTTATTCATTAATGCTTCAAATAAATCGGAAAAAGCCATTGCGAGTGGGGGTCTGACATAAACCGTTCGACGACAAAAACACCGAGCTCCCGCGTTTAGCATAAAGCGCGTAAAAACGGGATCGAGTCGAGATTTTCAGCGCGATACAGCCTTCGGCGTTGCGGTAAAGCCAGATTGCAGATCGAGTTTGTTGTGAAAATGTGGATGTTCACTCTTAATACATTCAGACCTTATACGGGACCAACTTGTTTATATTTTACCCGTTAATAGAGTAGTTTAGAGGGAAAAGGATCAAGAACTTGAGGATCGGTTGCTCTCTGTTAAATACATTATGTTAGTTATGGGACACACGTAATTTGATGATAGATAGATGTTTTGGTGACTTGGTTGGCGCAATTGCTAACCATTGCCTTTTAGGCCGCTGATTTTGGATTTGGTTCCCACAGTGGTCTGAAGATAATTGTTTCGAATATGGGTAGAGATGTGACAAGATAATATCTTTTTGTAATAAAAATAAAGAAAAGGATAAGAGGAATGTACATCTTAAAATTTGTGAAGAATCGAAATCAACATATGGGGGATAAAGTCATGTGATACGCTTTTAAAGATAAAGTGTCACAGGGGATGTAGCTCAGTGGTAGAGCGTTCGCTTTGCATGTGAAAGGCCCCGGGTTCGATCCCCGGCATCTCCAATAATATTTTTTTTACTTTTAAAACTGGATTTTATTCTTAAGCCACTTGTTTAAATCAATTAAGATTTCAATTTAGTATTTATACAATTGTTCGTTCAAAATGTTTAAATTACTTGATATGTATTACGCCAGGGTTTATGAAAACAATATGAACATTAATTATAAAGATAACAAAATTAACAAGTTATACACAAAGTAAATTATTTTAATATCTAGATGTTTTATAGAAAAATGAGAAGTACTTTACTGAACAGGAATAAACTGAGGTTCATATGACAAATTAAATCTACACCGATAAATGTTGAACAATCGAACAAAGCAAACGAATACAAGCAAACACAAATCGTCGCAACAAAAATAGCGACGCAAAAAAAATGAGCACCATTTCCGCTCGCATCCGCAATAACAGTTCGATTTAGGCATTTCTCCGGACCTATAGCGCACGGCGCGGTACGATCGGCAACATCCGCAATAAGAGAGTTCGATTTAGACAGTTCTCCAGAACTATAGAGCACGGCGCGGTACGGTCGGCAGCAAAATCGCGGTGACTTGCGCCACGGCCTTCTACAGGGCTCGGGAAGTCGAGCGCAAAAAGCACCGCGGCTCGGGCCAATTATTGCACGGCGGTGGTAATTTCGACTCATTGTTCTCGAGAAATGGCAATTATATACAATTACACGTATAGGACATTGTGTCCTCCCATTCTTCTGTATCGATAGTGAACCCTTGCTGGATGGTTCGAATAGCCAGCGCGCCGATAGATTCGTTCCACACTGCTCCGATGAGTGTTCATACGAGTAGTTGTGGTCGCCCAGTGGTCTAAATTCGACCATAGTTGTGGCTCGTGGTAGTGTGTGTAACGTTTTTTTAAGGTTTTAATGTATTTTTATGCATAATTAAAAAAAAAGCTTGCCGCGATCCTTCTCTATATAAACTATAAGTATAAGTTTCATACCCCTCCGTCGCGCAATTTTCGTAAAAAGGGGTACAAGGTTTTATTTCACGTATTTATGTATAAATTTGATCAATTTGCGGTTCATCAATGTGGTGGAATCATTGTCAAGTTTGCGCGTGATCATCCAAACTGATCGTCTTTGTTCTTCCTCTTTTTATGGATACTCCCGTTGACGCCACAGCTTGTATCAGAATTGGCATTGATTCATACGCTAAGCCAAATGTCTGAAAAGTGATCGTTAGGTTAGCCAATTTGGTGTTAGAAAATTAATAATATGATGTTAAAATATATATTTGTGTATTGTCACAATATTACAGTATTTAGTTTATTAACTGGATATAATCAATCGCATCATTAATAACTCGTTCTTTCGAAGTATTCATAATTTTATTATGTCTAGCAGTGGAGTTAAACATGCGGTAAAGGTGATGATGATGATCATAATTGTATGCACTATTCATTATATTTTATTATAATATAACAATATTTTTAATTTCCAATGTATTTGTTAAATATATTCTTTATTTCAACTTCCCGACATCGCTGAGTAGGTTGTTTGGTAAAAAATGGGCCCCCACTCTGCCTAATCTTGTGTTATTTGTGAGAAATTTTAAAAAATAAAAAATAATTATTTTCGGACAAATAAAGAACACGCCAGCGGCCCGCTGTCAACGTTGCCTTTGTCCATCTAAAAAGTGGAACAATGAAGTGAAAATGTTAACGAAATATTATCTAACAATGGCGGTCCATTATGACGGATAGGTGTGAAAAATGCGCCGGAATCTGTAAACAGGCGCGGCTCGGGAATTTCGTTTGGGTAGCACGGGATATAATTGTGAGTGGGTGTACAATTAAAATTGAACCTAAATGTAACGGTATTAATGATCATATCTCAACTTTTCTCACAACTGGACTAGAGCGGTAGGCTGACAACCTCGTGTGAATGTACCATAACGTTTAGTTACAATTTTCCTTCTATAAATCTTTTATATATGTTGTCGAAGCATACGAAACAAGTTGTATGATTCAAAGATAGATTATAGATTTTCTTACTGCTAAAACTGTGAATCACGCAGGATAATTCATATGAGAACATATCTATCTCAAGAGAGACAAACGATTATCTATCTCAAGAGATTAAAGAATCGAAACGTATAAAAAAGATGAAAGACAAAGACAATTTGTTTTTGTAAAAATAAAACCACCATAATAAACTCGCAAATCACTCTCTCGGCTATATCAAATCTCGCTGTTTATTAAATTTTATAATTGGTTTACAGGAGTTATCTGAGTATCTCAGGAGCCCAAGATCCAATACCAATGAAATTAATATGGGACCACGTGGGAAGCACCAGCTTTCAAATAAATAAAGAATCATCTAAATCGGTCCACTCTGTCGAAAGTTATGGGGTAACAAACATAAAAAAAAATGCATTCGAATTGTTAACCTCCTCCCTTTGAAGTCAGTCGAAAAGTTGACAAGCGAGCAGGCGGTTCACTTAATATCAAGTGATTACCGCTGCTCATAGTCATTTACGATTACCCCTGCTCATATAACACCAGATAGGTTGCAGATGCGTTGCCAGTCTTTAACACAGCGGGC